CCGGCAGCGGGGGAAGCAGGCTGCCGTCGGCCAGCGTCCGGGTGGCCTCGATCAGTGTGGCCCCCGCCACCGTTTTGGCCACAAACAGTCCATGGGCGTTACGGAAGTGCTCTACCAAGTCCCCCTTCACGGTGCCATTGATCGGGCAGTAAGGGCACACGGCCAGGGGCACCTTTGCGCCTTGGAGGTGCTGGGCCTTGCCCTCCAGGTAGCGCGGCTGGAGCGGATCCACGCCAGGGAAGCTGGCCGGTGCAGCCCCCGGGCTCAAGGAAGGCGCTACCTTCTCCATCTTGACGGGCGCCCCTTCAGGCTCCTCGGCCGAGCCCTCGGGGCTGTCCCGGGGCTTCAAGGGGGCCGGGACGGCGCCCTTGATCTTCTGCAGCTCCTCCATGGTGCTTGGCTGCAAGGGGGTGGCCGGACAGTAGTACTTCTTGTGGGCCAGGTAGCTGTCGAGGCTGTGGAAGCTTATCCGGCAGGCCGTGCACTCGTGGTAGTCCGCCAGGGGCAGCAGGGAGGCCGGGAGCACGCGGCTCCCGCCGTGCGGGCGGGGCTTCTTGCTGAGGTCGATGGGGCCCTCGGCATCTGGGCTCGAGCTGGGAGACGGGGCGGCCTTGACCACGGAAATGAGAGCGGGGACCACGGGAGGTGCCTCAGGGCGGGGGCCCTCTGGGGCGCCCCCCAACGGGCTGCCGGCGCTATGGATCTCGTACAGCTTGCGCCGCTTGCGCGTGCGGACGGGCTGCGGGAGGAAGGGCAGCTTGCCGGCCGCGCTGGTCCGGCGCAGGGGCGGGTCGTGGCGGGAGGCGCAGTAGTAGCGCTTGTGCACCATGTAGGTCTCGTGGCGGCTGAAGCGGATGTTGCAGGCTTCGCAGACTGTCCGGCTGGGGTCGTCCTCCGGCTCCTCCACAGAGCTGGCCCCCGGGCTCGGGCTCCCCTCGCTGGTGCGCCCGGTTCCGTCGGTCTCGGGGGAAGGGCTGGCTTTTGCCCCTCCCCCCTCCTCCCCTTTGTCCTCTTGCTTGATCTCTAGGGC